GAGGGGGGAGGGGTGCCAGGTGAGGTAGTGAACTATCAGGGGGAAAGCGCCAAGAAATTACGACTATATAGCACTGGGAAGGGGTCAGGATAAGGATTTGGGATGGGACGGTGGAAAGGAATGGTGCCCAACCACTTGTGGACGGTCTCGGGGGATTGAACGCCGATCTGCATGACGCGAGACCGTCGCTCTACCGTCCAGCCCAAGTGGATGGACGGTAGAGTAGTGAGAGAATGTGTTGGAGGAAGGAGGAGGAGTGTTCCTCCCTCACTATCCACCACCATATTATTGACGTGTATAGTGTGCTTGTGTGTGTGTGTGAATAATATAACACTATGTGCAGGCGTGTGTGTGTGTGTGTGTGTGTGTGTGTGTGTGTGTGTGTGTGTGTGTGTGTGTGTGTGTGTGTGTGTGTGTGTGTGTACTCACATATCCGTGCTTGCGTATCAACTTCGGCTCTTGGGTCCGCGGCTCATAACTTTCAATCATCTTGTATACAGGTTGCAGAGGTTTTCAGGTTGTCATATCAATATATGCAACTGGATGGTAGAGTGACGGTTTCGCTTCATGCAGGTCGGCGTTCAATCCCCCGAGACCGTCCACAAGTGGTTGGGGCACCATTCCTTTCCCACCGTCCCATCCCAAATCCTTATCCTGACCCCTTCCCAGTGCTATATAGTTGTAATGGCTTGGCGCTTTCCCCCTGATAATTCCTTCCTGTGTATATTATCTCACAATACACTCTGGAATCACAATAGTTTGATATATCTATGACAAAATAACCAGGACCAGGACAGTGGATTCGAACCAGCGTCCGGGGACACCCACGATTCACACTTAACTATGAACTACCTTGAGGTTACCTTGAGGTGATTCCGGGGCTCAGCGACCCCGCGGCCCGGTCGTCGACCAAACCTCCTCGTTGCTGGACTATGATCTGCTTCAAACTCACACAGTCAGCGATTAAGACTGTGTCTTGATTGATTATGGGAGAATAACCCTAAACTTGTACAGAGAAACTGTGTCTGGTGGC